GACAGCAGTGAGGAGAGAGGGAAAGGGGAGGGACAGCAGTGAGGAGGCGGGGCTGGGGCCGGGGGAATGAGTCTGGGCGCCGCCATGTTTCGGGCAACAGCAGGACCGTGGTCCCTGCTCGGCCCCCGGAGCGCTGTGTCTCTCTCTCGGATGAAGTCAGTGGCTGTCGCTGAGCCTGAGGGATACAGGCCCCGGGAGGAGGTGAGTGCGGGCCCTTAGACCCCCCACCCCCCTCCTCCCCCCGAATTGAAGCGGGAGATGTAGAAAATACAAGGGGGTGAAATTACAAATAAACTGAAGGGAATTGGGAAAGTAAAGAGAGAGAGAGAGAGAGCGAGCATGAAAAAAAGACAATCATTAGCAAGTTAAATCAAAGAAACGGCAGGCTGGACGTGGAAATGTAATAATTAAACTGTTACAGATCCTTTCAAATGTGGAGTGAAATAACTGCAAAGAATATCCTTGAGCAGAGGTGATGAGGAAATGAGCAATGACAGGAATAAATGTGTCTGAGGTTAGAGAGGAAATCCATGAGTATAACCAGATTAAAGCCGTTATTCAAAGTAGAGAAAGAAAAACAGAAATTGCGGGATAAACTCAACAAATCTGGCATCATCTATGGGGAGAAATCAGTTAACTTTTCCAGCAATTTCTGTTTTTCTTTCAGATCAGTGAGGAAGTCCATGAATGTAACCAGATTAAACTGTGATTAAAAGAACAGCAATGCTCCACAGCACCGACAGGAGATCCAAAAAAAAGAACTGGAAGAGTGTTCTGAGAGATATGTAACATAGACACAAAGTTTAGTGATGGAATGGCCTTCCTGAAAACTTCCATCGACATACATTAGTTCAACATTAGTTACAGGTACAAGGGCAACAAGACATTCGACCTTCACAGAACCACATTCAATTATGAGTGTCTGTTAGAGTTCATTTGTAGCCCCCCTATTCAAGTAAAATGTAATAAATCATTGAGTTAGTGTCTAACTATATTCTTAAACACTGAATATGTTTAGATGGAGACCTCATACTGTTAGGCAGTTGTGGATATTAGTTGCACAAAGTTGGTCATTTGTTTCTGTAGGAGCAGCAGGGAAGCAGAGGGCATAAACACAATCGATTTGAACCGCGTCTGCAGTTTTCACTTGAGTTCTTTTCCCCAAAACATCGTGAAACATTTCTCACTTGAAACATGTAAACTTTTAATTTGAATTGTCTAGGTTCCTGAAATGAACAAATAAGCAAGAAGCTAACAGGAGAGCAACTGCCTGTTAACTTTAACTGCACAATATGCATACGCTGCATTTCATACAAAGGATTCTTGTGGATAACAGACAATATTTTGAGAAATTAGAAGCTGGTACACTCAGCTATTTTTGGTAATATTCCTCTTTTCCTCCACCCCCCAACCTTGAGTATAATATTTAATTGCAGTTTGTAAAAAACATTTAGTTTTGAGGAAATATTTTAATGCAGAGTAGCTTTTATATATGTAATAATCTCTGAATTGTTTGTGACAAATTTATGGGAATGATTGCAAAGTGTTCAAATATTGCAAAGAAATTGCAATGTACTTTGAAGTGAACAAGTGTTATGGAAAGCATTAAATAACCTTTGAATTTGTAGGTCATGAACATATTTACCTCCCTTTTTCCTGAAGGTGTGTTACGTACTGGGGTATACTGAGTGGCCCTTTAGTACTTTGACCAACTGGTATTTCTTATCAGCATGTTTATCCTCCCCTCATCTCTTCCCTGCTCTCCCCAGCACCGAAATAAGTAGTGGACAGCATTTACAAGACAAACCTTGAGTTGCTTTCACAGCTGTTTTAATATAAGCTACATCTATGCTGTACAAGAGCAATATTTGAACATTTTCAATGCCGGTTTACCAACATTGGTTACTTTTCATATAGCAAATTAACATGTGCAAAGTAGATGATACCAAGCAAAAGACAGATTCATAGTGAGCAATCAGAGCATGAGCAATTAATGTTTCAAATTTTGTTTGCATTTTTAGATAAACAAGAGGTCTCATATCAAATTGAAACCACAGAAACAAATTTGCAAACCTGTTTTGGAACATTTTGATGAAAGATATGGACAAGAACTTGGAGAATTATGGGACAAAGTCAGGTAATAATAGAGGTAATTTTCATCTACTTCTCATTTTGACTTTCGTACAGGGTAGGATCAAAAGCTCTTATGTTCAGAGCATGAAATGGGTACACAATCGAGACCAAGTTTCCCTCAATTGGGTGGATGCTAGTCTCATGAAAGAATGGTCTATGTGTCAGAAGTACAGTATTGCTGTCAGTTCCAAATTAATGAGATCTGACCCTAATACAGGATATTTCACTGAGAACGTGGCTGCTTCATCATCAAGTCTCTATTGAAAAAGCTTAGAGAACCTTTGACTTTGCTACCAAACAAAAACTATATGTTAAATTGGGCAATATCTGCTTTCCAATCACGAGATGCTTTCAAGCCAGTGCAGACACTCCACTTGCTGCTGATTGGAACTGTAAGACCAACTAGTGGTTAGTCCATCCAAATCTGATAAATGTAATCTATATTCTACTCCCACCCCCACCCCATCGCCTGTGGGACATGACCACTGTAGTAGAGAATCCTTTCAAATCATTTCAAAGGTGTACGTTTAATATGCCCGTAGTGTATAGCACAGCACTACATAATCTCTGGACGTTTTGTAATTGTGATTTAATTGTTCTATAGCTGGAAATTACTAGATACATGGATATCAGTAATTTCTGTAGGGATGTTTTAGGCAAATGTTCAAGTATTTTGCTGTTTTCCCCAAGATCCCCCTCCTCACACAAAAAGTGCTGTATCGTTTTAAATTTTATGCAATTTACTTCTGTTTTTGTTTGATAATCTTTTAGAGAAGTGCTCCTGCTTCCTTCCAACTGGCAGTACGCTGTGCTTGTGAACAAGTTCAGTCAGTGTGTGACATTTGAACGGTATCTTCAGTCTAGGGGATACTACAATTTCCTATCAGATGTTTTACTCCTTACCCAGCATTCTTTACGATGTTACATCAGCAATGTCCAGTGCCGGTTCCCCAGACTCCAACATTGTACTGAAAGGTTGAAGGACTACTACCTCTTAAATGCAGCTTCCTTAGTGCCTGTCCTTGCATTGGATGTACAAGATGGAGAGCGTGTGCTGGATTTGTGCGCTGCTCCTGGAGGGAAATCCTTGGCAATATTGCAATACGCCACACCAGGTAATAATTGTTATTTTGTGTTGCTGTGGAAAACTCACATTGTGCTTTCATTTTTCAGAATTGCCATGTTTGCAAGTTACAGGAGGGTAGTAACTCGTCTACTGCATTTGCTGCTCACAATATGGTCTCTTCTAAATTGGGGAAACAAAGCATAGACTGGGTGACCACTTTGCAGAACATCTACGTTCTGCCCTCAGTAAAGACCCTGAACTTCCAGTTGCCTGCCACTTTAACACACCACCCTGATCCCCGGCCAACATCACTGTCTCAGGCTTGCTGCGGTGTTCCAGTGATGCTCAGTGCAAGCTGGAAAAACAACACCTCATTTTCCGCTTGGTGATTTTGCAGCCCTCTGAACTCAATATCAAGTTCAATAATTTGACGGCCTAAACTCCCCCATGTCTTAGCCCCCAACCCCGCACACCAGGCCTTGTTATCACATAGTCTGCCATTGCACACTATCTATTGTTAGTGACAAACAGTCTCTATAAGCAGCTATAAACACTCTGAGCCAGATTGTTATCGACTCCTTTGTCTGTCCAACTGTTCTTGTCTCTCTTTGGGCTCTATCCCCCGCTATTGTTTACTCCTTACCCCCTCCCCTCTCTCTATCTTCTGCATATAAACCGACATTTTCCTAGCTACCATCAGTTCTGAGGAAAGGTCACCGGACCCGAAACATTAACTCAAATTTCTCTTCAGAGATGCTGCCACGCTTGCTGAGCTTTTCCAGCAACTTCCATTTTTGTTTCTGATTTACAGCATCTGCAGTTCTTTCAGTTTTTATGAGAAATAACAGTTCTGAGGATAGATTGAAGAAACTGGGACTGCCCTCATTGGAAGGAAGAAGGCTGAGTGGAGATTTGATAGAGATTTTCAAAATTGTGAGTGTGCTGGACAGAGTAGATAGGGAGAAACTGTTCCTGCTTATAAAAGAAAAGGAACGAGAGAGCATAGATTTAAATTGATATGTTGAAGAAGCAAGGGCAATGTGAGAAAAATTTCTTTCACACAGCGAGTAGTAAGGATATGGAATGTGCTGCCTAGGAATTGGTGGAGACAAATTCACTTGAGGCATTCAAGACTGCATTGGATGGTTCTTTGGATAGAAATGGTGTGCATGGATATGGGGGGAAAACAAACAGGGGACTAGTGGTATCTTGGTGTGATACAATGCAAATGAAAGTGCTTTACTTCTGTGTAAGCTTGAATAATAAGTAGCAACAACTATGAAGCATGAGAAAGTAAGCACTTGCTGGGAAAATTAGTTGGCCGAATAGGCTGATTGCATGTACTGCTCCGATGAAATCACTTAATATAATTGGAAGATTTTCATGAGGGCTGCCACTTCTCTGACATGAACAGCTCATTGTTTTTCTATGCAGTTTCTTTTATTTTGCTAGGTTTTTGAGCAGCATATCATTAAAATAGGCTGTAATGACATCTTTTCAGGTCAGCATTCATTAGATAAAAATCCAAGAAAAAAATGATGCAATAACACAATTTTACAAGGAATTTTCTAGCGAATGTGCATCTGAGGCTGTATGTAAGAGCTGACCAGCTGATAATAGTGGTGCATAAACTTGAAATCCATACAATCAATGATTTGATAATTAAGCCAGTAACATTTAAAATATCATAATTAGGAAAATCATTATAAATTGACAAGTAACTGCGACTTTAAGATGACTCTGCAACAGAAAATATTTAGATAAAACAATGTTTATTTACATGAACAAAGTAAAGGACCCTTGGATAATGAGGGAAGTTGTGAATTTAGTCAAAAGGTAAAAAGCATGTGTAAGGTTTAAGAAGTTAAAATCAGTCTGGGCCTGTGAGGAATGTAAAGAAAGCAGGAAAATACTCGAGCAGGGAGTTAGGAGAGCAAGAAGGGGCCATGAAATGACCTTGGCAATTGCGGTTAAAGAGAATCCCTAGGCATTCTATAGGTACATTAAAAATAAGAGGATAACTAGGTAGAAGCTAGAACCACTCAAAGATAAAGGAGGCAACTTTTGCTTGGAGGTAGACAATGTGGGTGAGATCTTAAATGAGTACTTTGTGTTGGTATTCACCCAGGAAAAGGAAATGGACGATAGTGAGATTTGTGTGGAGCATGCTAATATGCTAGGGCACTTTGAGATCAAGAAAGAAGTGGTATTGGATTTCTTGAAGAGTATTAAGGTGAATATGTCCCAGGGCCTGATGATATTTACCCGGGTTATTGAGAGAGGCAAGAGAGGGGATTGCTGGGGCCTTGACCAAGATCTTTGTATCCTCGCTAGCCCCCGGAGAGGTCCCAGAGGATTGGCTAAAGTAGCTAATGTTCCTATGTTCAATAAGGGAAATAGGGATAATCCAGGAAACTACAGACCAGTGAGTCTCACATCAATGGTTGGGAAGATATTGGAGAGAATTCTTAGGGATAGGATTTGTGCACATTTGGAAAAGCATAGCCTAATTAGGGACAGTCTGCATGGCTTTGTGAAGCGTAGGTCGTGTCTTAGTAACTTGATTCAATTTTTTGAGGAGGTAGCAAAGGTGATCGATGAGAGTAGAGCAGTGGATGTTGTTTACATGGATTTTAGTAAGGCTTTCGACAAGGTCCCTCACAGTAGGCTCAGTCAGAAAATTTAAGATGCATGGGATCTATGATGATTTGGCCGCGTGGATTCAGAATTGGCTTGACCATAGAAAGCAGAGGGTAGTGGTGGAAGGGTAGTTTTCTGGCTGGAGGTCTATGACTATTGGTGTTCCGCAGGGATCCATACTAGGACCCTTGCTGTTTGGGATATAAATGACTGGATGAAAATGGAGATGATTGAATTAGTAAGTTTGCAGACAATACAAAGATCAGTGGAATTGTGGATAGTGTAGAAGGTTGTCCAAGGATACAGTGGGATATAAAACCGTTGCAGATGTAGGTGGAGAAATGGCAGATGGAGTTTAGTCTGGTAAGTATGAGGTGCTCCACTTCGGGAGAGGTTCAAGTCCATAGCTCCCTGAAAGTGGCCACTCAAGTAGATAAGGTGGTAAAGAAGGTGTATTGGTTGAGGAATTGAGTACAAGAGTCAGGATGTCATGATGCAGCTTTGTAAGACTTTGGTTAGGCCACGCTTAGAGTATTGCATTCAACTCTGGTCTCCACATTACAGGAAGGATGTGGAGGGTTTGGAGAGGTGGCAGAAGAGGCTTACCAAGATGCTGTCTGGATTAGAGGGTATGAGCTATAAGGAGAGGCTTGAAAAACTTGGATTATTTTCTCTGGAGTGGTGCAGGCTGAGGGGAGACTTGATCTAAGTCTATAAAATTATGAGATGTGTAGATAGGGTTAACCGTCAGAATCTTTTTCCCAGAATTGAAATGCCTAATACTAGGGGGAATGCATTTAAAGTGAGAGGGGAAAAGTTCAAAGGAGATGTGAGGGACAAGTTTTTTTACACAGAGTCATAGGAGTCTGGAATGCAGTGCCAGGGATGGTGATAAAGGCAGAAACAATAGGGGCATTTAAGGGACTTTTAGATAAACACATGAATATGCAAGGAATGGAGAGATATGGACCAGTGGTAGGCAGAAGGGATTAGTTTCATTTGGCGTCATGTTTTGGCACAACATCGTGGGCTGAAGGGCCCATTCCTGTGCTGTATGGTTCTATGTTCTAAAAATGGGCCTCAGTGAGAAAGAGAGATAGTAGGAACTGCGGATGCTGGAGAATCCGAGACAACAAGGTGCAGGGCTGGATGAACACAGCAGGCCAAGCAGCATCATAGGAGCAGAAAGGCTGACGTTTTGGGCCTAGACCCTTCAGGCCCTTCTGCTCCTATGATACTGCTTGGCCTGCCGTGTTCATCCAGCCCTGCACCTTGTTGCCACAGTGAGAAATATAGCTAGCTATTAACTTTAGATATCTCTTAACTGCTTTTCCACAGGATTAATGTGGGTATAGTCAGATGAATTACACATGAATGTAGAACTAATTGTTGTAATGGAAAAGTTTTGTCAAATTAAAATTTCATGCAACTAAAGGTTAAGTCTTTACAGATGCAAGAATTCTAATAAGTTCATGGACCCGGACATTGGGGTCAGTGGCAAACAGATGCGTGTTGGGAGTTTGGCACAGCATAATGTCGTGTGCAGGCGATTTAGGAGCTACACAATAGGGCAAGCAACATCAGGTCTCTTAGATTGTTTTGATCAAGGAATTCTTAGTTAGGTGTCCAAGATCTAAACCAGGAAATGTAAGTTAGAATAAGCAAAATTGTGTGCCTGAAGCAAAAATAGAGGAGCAAATATTTGGTTAAAAAAGTGAAGGAAGAATTTTTTTCCTTTTTTTTTAAATTCTCCAACATTATTCAAATTCAGATGGAACAAGATTTTACACTTGTAAATTTTCAGTGCTAGAGAGGTTTTTTACAATAACTAAGTCAATGCTTGCTTTCAAAAATTCGCTTACATTTGAATAGATAAACTCAAATTTTTCTGGCACATTGAATAGATAGTCAGGTTGATAAGAACTGAAACTTCACCCCTTCCATGTACCTTGCTGAGGCACCAGTTGGCAAAGGTTCAAGAGAAGCCAGGCAACCTGGAAAGCAACTTCCCGATTTCCATGTTTAAACATGCATTTCAGGCATTTGGGAGGAATGTCTCTCCGATTTCCCCAGACCTCTGATTACTTCTTCACTATTCTACAGCAGAATATGGGTCATTATGTTTAAATATGAAAGGCTGTTGGATAGATTGTCCGATCGATTGCTTAGATTCCCTTTTAAAATAGAATCTACACAATTCTGTTACTTTTTTTTGAAAACGCAGCATAAGCTTTGCTGGCTGGGCCAAGCATAGTCACTGTTGTACTTATGGGAAAACATTACAGTCAATTTTCACTCCAGTTCCATGAACTGCAGTGCCATCCGTAATCAGAAAGTCTGTTTTGTGTTGCAAAGATCTTCATATAGTACCACAAGATCTTTTATGTACGCCCAAGATGCAGATGGACCTAAGATACAATGTTTCTGACAGTGCAGCACTGTAATTTCAGTCTGCAATTTGCTCAGGTCTCCAGAGTGGGGCTCTTACCCAAGCAATTTTGATTGAGAGGTGGATCATCGTGTTAGGTCAAAGCAGGTATGTAACTATGTCCTTGGGAGGATAGAAGTCACATCTTCAGACTGCTGAAGCAAATGTTCTGTATGTTGGAATCTCTTCCTTGAGTCAGATCTTTGGTCATCTGTACAATCTTATTTATATTTTTGTTTTTCCAAAAAAAGGTTTTTTTCTCTGCAATGAATATAATGTCTTGCGACACCAACGGCTAAAGCAAACACTTGGCTCTTTTGTACCTGAAGACTTAAGAAACGTGATTTCTGTGACTGACCTGGATGGCAGACACATTGGTCCACAGTATCCTCAAATGTACAACAAGGTGAGGCTACATTTTGATCATATTTTGCTAGATTGGTGCAGGCACTGAGTTCAAGACAATTTCTGTGCTGTGGTGATATAGCTCATTATAGCTTTGAAGTGTCAGACACTCAATCATAGGTTTAGACCTATGGACTGCTCAGCATTGAGTTAATAACTCTTGTACTGATTTCAAGCAAGGCCTGGTGATAAAATTTTAAAGATTATTCTAATGTATAAGAAGTGTAGTTTAAGAAAACCTCCACTATAATCAACTTTCACAAGCATGTGTTCTAATAAAGTTGAAGCCATAAAAAAAAGTCACCACAGAAGATTTCAGAAATATTAGAATAAACTTGAGGACTGTTTTTATACCAATCTAATAAACAGCTGTTATGTTGTCACAGGGGAAGAAGAGCCTCATCAAGGTCCTGGGTTTTCACTACATTTTAGGAGTCAAAGTGCACTGTGGAAGGTTCTGTGGGTGAGCTGTGTCCCAGCTTTCACAAAAGCATTTATTGGAGTCCCATACAATGGCTTATTAATTAAAATCAAAGCATTCTGAAGAAACAGGCTAACTGTTGGTATGGATAATAAATTGATTGAAGAGTGGGAGGAAGTGAAAGTTCATTAAAGGAATTATGTTAAGATGGAGTGCTCGAAGACTTATTTTTGGGCTATCATTATTTGATTTCAATAACAAGATTTCATGAACTCAACACACAGTTTCCTAGCAGAAAGAACATATAGGCTCTAGATAGGACTTTAACGTAATAAGAATGGGGGATTGACCTGGTAAGAATGATGGAAATCTGAAAGCAAAAGATCTGGGGAATGAGAGAGAAGATTAGACTGAAGAAAGGAACAAGAGGAATCTAAATGGTTCGTGAACAGATATAACTATATAACAGAAGCATAAAAGTAGCAAAGGAACAACTCCTAAGGACAAACAGCTTGTGCAACAATGTACGCAGTACCTAAAATAAAATGGTAGAACTGAAGGCAGTATTCTGTAGGGACGAATCTAATGCATTAGGAGTAAGTGAATAATGACTATGTAAAGCATGGGACTGGCATCTAAATATTGCAGCTCATGACATCAGGAAAGGGTAGGGAAGGAAGAAGAGTGTTGGGGAACAACGTTATTTCTCTCTATGTAGACATAATAGCAGGAAAAAAGGCCACGATCAACAAAAATGAAGAAACAGCATTGATCTATACTTAGACCATGTAGCTTGTCTTCCAATTTCTGAGAAGCTGGTTCAAGTTTTTGGGGTATTTGTGAGGAAGAAAGTGTGAATTAGGAAGTTGAGTTTGTAGTAAAAGTAACTGTATTTATTGTACTTCCAATACCGTTAATATATGTGACTATTTAAGGTAGAGTATTAGTATTTGTGTTCTTTGGTTTTAAACAGAGTCTTGTGGCTTCACTTTTTAAGTAATTAACTGGGTTTTCAGATTCTTGAAATAAAAGCATTGCTGTTCTCTACTGCAGTCATAGCACTGGATTTAAAAAAAAAGATTGTGGAACCAGAAGAATGTGTAAAAGGAGGATTGTATGTGAGAACAGTTTTAAAATAAAACTTGAAGAATCATGAACTACATAGCTTACACAGTTGAACATAAGGAGAATTGCAGTTAAGCTGTAGAGTGTTTCAGTCATATTGCACTTTAATACTCTATCCAGTTATGCTTATCAAAAGCAAAGAAGATATTTAGATTTTGGAGGCAGTGCAGATAATATTCTTGAGTTTAAAAGGCCAAAATTGAGCAATCAAAAGAATAAAGAAACAGTGATTAAGAAGTAAATTTCACAATGATACAGGGAAAAGCTTTACACAAGGAACTATCAGCAAATGGAATGGACTTTCAGGGAGAATAGTGGAGACATAACTCTGAAAACATTCAAAAACCAATTGGATGCTACAGCGTATTTCTGGGTGGATGCACTGCCATATCTTCAATGATCTTCCTTGTGTGTAGTTATCTTACAATATAATCACATTGTGGCAAAGATCAGTAATACACATGTGAACAGTTTCTTTTACTGTGTACTGGGAGTGCTAGTGCCATTTTTAAAGAGAGCTGGATATTGCTTAGTAATTATTTATAAACTCCATATTTCCTCTATATGGTTTTGGAGAGCCGTATTATGTTTGGTTGTTCAGTATTCCATTAATCTCAAACTTGGAGAGAGTATAATTATTCAGGAGTAGTTTTCTTCGCAGGTTACCTGTGAGATATATTTATGTTTAATGACTTAAAATATGGAGTAAAATATTTTATTTTATTCATGCAGGGTGCATTAATGTTTGAGGTTTAGGTGTTTTTGCTCCTCATGGGACGAGAGTATCGCTGGCTAGGCCAGCTTTGATTGCCTGTCCCTAATTGCCCTTGAGAAGATGATGGTGATCTGCCTTTTTGAATTGCTGCAGCCAGTGTGCTGAAGGAAGACCCACAATGCATTTAGAGAGGGAATTCTCTAAACTGTTCCTAAAAGACCAATGTTAAAAGTTAGATGCAAAAATAAACTCCAGATTTGGTTATTGGTTTAGTTATTTTGCAAAGTTTGATTTTAATAATTTCATTTCAAATCACACTTGGGTGTTTTTGTGCATGAAGTACCTCTGCCATGTGCATTGTCTTTGTTGTTAAACACAGCAAACTCTACATTATATCTTTTTAGATTGGATCAACAATGGCAAAGCTGTCAGAATGGTGCAATGTAACTGCACGTTATTAAAGACAAGATTCTGTACTTAGTGACATTCCGATATCAGGAGATGTATGGGCTTTGCATTCTTTTCCATTCATGCGGTCTTATATCTGAATTCCTTCTTTAGATGATTACTGTCTGGATGTCAAACTCTTATTTTTTTTTAAAAAGAGCCCCTTGTGCTCTCGAGTAGATCTAATTTTGCACTAAAGTCCATTGTTCTTTAATTAGATGACATTCTACAATCAATTAACATCAGATTAAGTGGCAGCCTTCTGTCTATATGTAAATGTTGCCATTGATTTTGTGTTGAATTTTTGAATATCTGTATTGTATTGTATCAGAGGTAGTAGGAACTGCAGATGCTGGAGGATCTGAGACAACAAGGTGCAGAGCTGGATGAAGGGTCTAGGCCTGAAACGTCAGCTTTCCTGCTCCTATGATGCTGCTTGGCCTGCTGTGTTCATCCAGCTCTACACCTTGTTGTGTTGTATTGTTGCTGGCCACTAGGGGGTGCTCAGTTGTCAGGTTATACTCAATGTTTCAGTTTGCCAGAAATGGTTCTACATCATTGTCTCTGTGTGCGCACAGTGCTTAACCTCGTTGTGTCCAGCACAAAATGATAAATCCAAGCTTGAATCAGATTCAGTTGGATTCTATTATTTCACAGTTTTGTTAGTACTGTTCAATTTGTTTTGAATAGCAGTATCAGTTTTCATTCAAGAGTTATTTTGGGTCAGTTATCTTAGTCATAGAGTCAAACAACAAGGAAGCAGGCCCTTTATTTCCTGCTAACCATTATTTATAAATTGCATGAAATTAATTTCTTTAATTTCCACAGAACTGCATATTCTTAGTACAGATGATCTGGTACATCTACCCAGGCCCATGCAGCACCCATGCCCCCTTTTCGTAATTTTGTTTGTTGTTTTATTACTCAACCCCAGTATCAGACTACTCAACTTCATGTCAATGGGTGAATTAAGTCAGACTGCTAGACGTTGCCACCAAATGATTTGAGTCCAGCGTTGTTGTATGTTGCACTTTATATATGTGAGTCACAATAGCTTTTGTACTTTTGGTGAATATTGTCGTGTGTCTCAAGGTTTGCTGTTATTGTCAGGAGAGGAAAAAAATCTTGTCCCAACAGAGACCTTATCAACAACGTATCAGTAGTGCAATTCCCTAAACGCCTTAGCTTGCATACAACTCATATGACATGTCACTATCTGAGATTTGAAAATACACTGCCATCCTCACATTTTACCCAGGGTTACAGAGCCGTAGACAGTTATTTTTCTTGAGCGCTCTTTTTTGGTACGTCAGCTTTCCCTGTGACGTAAATCTTTTATCTAGGTCAGCATATTCAGTCTTTGACAAATTATCAGACATATTGCATCCTGGGACACCTTGAGGTAGTGCACATAACGTAAGTATTTAGAAACTTGGTTAATTCAGAGAATTATTTTCAGCCATTCTTGAGTTAGAAATCATTTTGTGTCTGCTGGATTTCTTGATTTTTTTGGGGGGAGGTGAGTTGCTGGGGTTATATAGCCACAATGACATTGTAAAAGAAAAGCCTAATCGCTTCTTTGGTATGTTGAAAGTGCAGTTGCTGTTGTATGGGTGAACTGTGCAGGCAGTCAGTTCATTGTGAACTCTCTCAATCAGTGGATTAATAATCAGTCAAGGAGGAATATTGACTGGGTCCACTACCTGACCGCCGCCTTGCTCCATATCAAATGGCACCACAGGTTGATTTGATTCACCCAGACAGACCAACAAGATATCAGGTAATAATCTCAGCTGAAAACTGGAACCTTTGACAAAGCTGCCCTCAGTACTACCAGTTATCAGCCTGGATTACATGCTGAGTTTTGCAAGATGCTTGAAAACAGTGCATGAGAATTTGGGTTGGGATGCTGATTACTGAGCAAGTTCATGTTCAACTGGAAGCGCAATAGGATTTTGATAAAAGAATCTTGGTCTCTTTTTTACTAGTTTGTTTTGCTTTCTTAGGTGCTAGTGGACACACCATGTTCAAATGATCGAAGTTGGCTTTTCTCCTCTGATGTCCTTCAGGCTTCCATGAGGATTACAGAGAGGCCTAAACTACCAGTTTTGCAGGGGCAATTACTAAGGTACGAGATGATAACCTTAAAGCCCACCTGTTTATGTTTTACATTTTAAATGAAATAGGATTGCAGTGAGCAAGTAGTCAATGTATTGGAACAGACTCTCTAGAGAGGTAATAGAAGCAGTTAGTGTTGATTAATACAAAAATAAATTAGATTTATTTGAAAATGTGTCAGGATATGGTACATGAGTTATTTGAGACATGATGTGTGGTCGGTGTGGCGTGCTTGTAAAGCAAAAAAGTTGACTTTGGACCTGTGGTTCCCAAAACAACTCCACCACTGGGATTTTGTTTTTGTTGCCTCAGCTTCTGTTGTAGACTAATACGATTGGTATAATTAGTCAACATCTCTCTTGTCATTACATGACTATTGGGAGAAGAAGGCAATCTAGATGGACTCTGGTCTTTTTTATCGTCTAGCAATTCCTATGTTCCTTTGGTAAACCAGTAACCAATCTTGACCTTGCCTAAGCTTTCACTCTCAGAGACTGTTCTCTTTTGTTTTCAGGATATGATGCACTATAGGTAGTTTATTATTTTACCATATAATATTTGTCTTAATTTAGTCTGTAGGAACATTATTTAGTACTGGTGAATAACGTGGCCGATTACACAAATCTTTCATGCCCTTTTTTGTTCATTTGTACTCTCCAGAGTTTTGATTAATTTCCCAAATGTGCAGAGTTCAGATTACACATTTCTGCGAAAATAAATGATGATGATAACATGTTAGATTCTGACATAAGCTTGTAATTATAATGCTATTTTAATTCTGGTGTTCTTTCTGATGGGAAGAAGGCAATTTTGTTCCAAAATATCTCCGTAATAGCCACAGGATGATTTTATTCCTTTTCTTGGCACTTTGTTTTTTTGGCATTTTTAGTTGTATGTGAATATACAAATGACAGAGAAAAGACCAAATGGTCCATGAAGCCTATCCTGCATAGTTACAGTGCGTTGGTCATCATGGTTGTTTGTTTCTTGTTATTTTGTTCTATTTCAATTACTGATGATGGGACGCTTGCAGTATGTCATTTACACAATGTAACCCGAATAACGTGAAATAAGTAAAGAAATAAACAGCATTTTGTAAAGCGATCTTTTGCAAGATGTTTAACAATAGCACTAAGTCTACATTTTGCAGTTGAAATAGGGGAAGCTAGCACTATTACATGGAAATTGCACAGCATCTATCACTGACTGCATATGTACAGATAAACTTGGAAGGCAGGAGGTTGTTATCTCACGTAACCTCAAAGTTCCACAATAACTGTATATTACAAGAAAATTGAAGCACATGGAATGGAGTGACGTTTCTGTGCATGCCTCACAGAAATTAATTGAATTTACCAAAAAATTAGACTGTCTATTCCAGTGGAACTACTGTTTTAACTGTCTGATAACTGTTAATTACTGTCAAACAATTTCTCTGACTCTGAAAATAATCTTTTCAAAAATTCAACTAATGATTGGATAATAAACACAATTATATTTTTACTTTATCTGTGTTTGTTTTTCTCAATCACTCTAGTTATTCATTCCTCCTTTTTACATGTTTTACCTGATTTGGAAATGTAATCCAGTATTTGATTCAGACTCTGCAATACCCGTTGATGATTATCTCAATTCAGTGTCCCAGAATCTCTTCGGCAAAAAATTTCATCACATCCTGTCATTTCAAAGCTCCAGTTACTTCAGCAATTGGTATCAAGACTTTTAGTCTTGGCTTTAGACTGCATATTCTCTTGAACCTACCTGAGCGATCTTGTACAGCTACTTTAATGAATTTGTTCAGATGTGTAAGAAACCCACTCTGGATCAGCTTGGAATTCAAGTCTGGCCTTCTGGCTGAAAGACAGGGACATGTCTACTGTGCCATCACAGCCCAGACTTGCATACTCAACTCCTCTGTTTCCAAATTACTTGTTTGTTTGTTGTATCCTTCCAATCAGCTGCAGCATTCAAGAATCAGTGTTCAGTCAGAATGCCGTGGTCTTCCGAAATTCTTTCCCAAAGTCACATCACTTGTTACCGCCATCAATCTTCAAAAGTGTCTATAAAACCAAAGCCTTAAAACTAAATTGAATCAGAGATAGTAGAAACTGCAGATGCTGGAGAATCCGAGACAACAAGGCGCAGGGCTGGATGAACACAGCAGGCCAAGCAGCATCATAGGAGCAGAGAGGCTGATGTTTCGGGCCTAGACCCTTCAAACTAAATCTTGCCTTCAGTTCTCCCCCATCTCTAATTGGTGCTTGTGTCTTTTGTGTGAGGAATGCAATGTAAATGAAATTTGTTGTCAGTTTTTTTGTTCCAAGGGTGACTTCCACTTCCTTTGGACTGTAGTTATAGAATTAATCAAAACAGATGTGAATTAAAGATTTTGCCATCATTTTCAAATTGGCTTAATTGTCCCCATCCCTAATTTGTCTCCTAGAAAGTAATCTTATGTTTTTTAACTTGAAATAAACATGTTAAAGATTGAAATGAAGAACATCACAATACATTTGTCCATTATTAAATACAACTTAGGAAGACATGATATTTGGTGCAACATGTGTCAGTTTTCACTTTGAAAAGCAAAAATGGTCCTAGATTTTTATAAAAAAATGACTGTTCTACATTTTTTTGCATGAGCGGTTGCTTTCCTCTAATCCCCGCATGATTTGCCAAATAGAACTGATATATCATGACTTTTCAAATGGCTTAACTCTTACCATCTTTAGAAAGAAAATAGCACAGATCGACTCTTTGTTTTGTAAATCAATTTATCATTAGCAGAATTGACTTAATGTGTATGTACTTTACACGTAAAACTGCCTACAGAAACCATTGATAGAAATGTACAGTTAGTTAATTGATAAAAGTCTTGGAGCTGCAATTCTCAGCCAATATCAATTAACTGATTGTATGTTCTATCAATAGGATCTGCCTATTTCAACATTACCTATTACTTAGTTTGTATAACAGAAGCCACAAATTTAAGTCATTAAATTATGTAATCAGCACATAGTCTATCAGCCCTAGTTGACTTCCAAAGAGTAATGCAGTTAGTCCTTCTTTCTTAATCTTAGCACAAAAGGAGGCTGATTGGTTCATTGTCTGTGTGAATGCATTAAACTAAGCAGAAGGGCAGGTTTGACCAGAGACTCTTAACAGGTTTCCTCCAAGCCAAATTCAGCTCAATTTTATATATTCTGACTCAGTGAGGAAAATCCTCAGTGGTGCCAAGCTTTGAAAAACTATGATGAGGAAATAATTCTGACAAGCCTTTGATTTTACTTTGAATAGAGTCATTGTGATACAGCACAGAAAATGCTTTGGCCCATTGAGTCTGTGCTAACCTATCTGCTCTACACAAATGCGTGGCATTGTATTATTTATAATTGTTAAAACAAGTAATAGCTTATGGTATTTAACCAAGGTGATGGTTATGGCTTTTGTTATTATTATAACATTTATTAATTTGACAGTGTGAAACTCCAAGCAATGTTTTGATGAATGATTAACAATGTTACTAGCAGGAAATGTAAAGATTTTGGAATGACCTCACTTTAAACATCAGGAATGTAATTTTCAATCTCCAGACACCATATTGACTGGCTTGACACAATGGGTTAGCTGTTAAGATGAGTAAGGCATTTAAGGAACTACAGTACTGCTTTGAACTAGGGGTAAAGTTTTTTGTTTGTCACATCTTATGGTGGAGCGAATGGTAAGTTATATCAAACCCATATGGTTCGTATTCAGTTAAGTTCAAAGAAGAAGATATGTTGGATTCCGTAAATCTTGGTGGATGAGGAGGTTGGGGGGAAGGGAGACAATCCATCCTGTCTGCTTGCTGCCCATTAAGCAACGAAAACAAAATTTTGAAAGGATCCTAAGTTTGAAACTCATCAGTGATTGACAGTTGAACTCGTTTATCCTCTGCAAACAAGCTAAGCCACTTTGCAACAATGCTTTGCTAGCTGGCCGTTTATCTGATGAAAAAGAAAAATAAAATTTCCGGATGCGAGTTATCCCCACGTAGTGAAGCATTTAATGTGCAATCCTTGAGAATTCTTTAGTCTTGTCGCACCTATTATTTAACATTTATATACAATGGATATTTCTGTTATTTGTATAATGAGATAAACATTTATATAGTTTTTTTTTGGTAATCTTTGCAAATCAAAATGGATGTGTGTAAAAGCATCACCTGATCATGATCCAAGATGAAGTATTTCCTTCTATACAAGAGTTTGAGTTACCTCTCCTTAATTTTCAACTTTACTGCTCAATAGTATGATGGTCTGGTGTTCCTAAATATTGTGTATCCCATGTGCTGTCATGTGCCTTTTCTTCTCTTTTCATAGGTCAGCTGTTAAGCACCAAAAAAGCAGTTTGTTTAAACATAAACTATGTGATTAACCGAACACCGTTTCGCAGTTCATTCCAACTAATTGTACATTGCTGCTTTATCAGTAAAATGGATTTAGCCAACTTTTTCTTTGTGATACAAGTCAACATTGCTGAACACTTTTTTGTCTGTCTCTGATTATCCCACCTGTTTCTTGACTGCTAAATGTCAACATTCTCAATTGTGTGTCAGTATTGGCCAACTGGCAATCATATCCAATCAAAAATGCCACTTTGAGTAGAGAATCGGAACTCTTTCCTAGTGCGCACAAACACTAGCGCGCACCACGCCCCCCTCCCCCCCCCCCCCCCCACCACCACCACCACCACCACCAAATCTCCAAGAAAACCAACTTGGCTGTAGGATCCAAAACACGACGTTGTCTGTTGGTCTTTCTAGAATGTGCAAATGGTTCCATCCATTCACACTGTCTCAGAACAATATGGTAGCAAGAACAAATGCAATTTTTAAGTACCTCACCTCAAATCTCAGCTAATAAACTCAGTGCCCCTGTTTACTCTCATTTTTGAAGAATTCATTCTTTTGTACGAAACTTGTGTTCGTATCAAAATAGAAATTAATTTTAAATTCCTTCCCATACGCAAATTGTAGAATTTTATTTAGTGTATAATTTGCTCCAGTTTCTCACTAAAATGGTGAGCAGTGGGCCACACACAGGTGGTTTAGTTGCTGCTCCAGAAACAGGATGATTAATTTGTTTCGTTGTGCTTTGTTATATGATAAGATGTTAGTCTCTACATGTGCTCTCAAAAAATAGTATGAGAAAGTTCAGGGAGGTTTTAATAAGAAAGATTATGCCATGAAACGATAATCTATAAAATAATTAAAATCATGTAGGCCTGGAAATTTGGTATTTTGTGACTGAACACCTCACCTGTACAGGGCTAATAGCCCACAAACTAATGGGGAGGACAAAGCAGCAGTGGATTTTTTGTCTGATCTCCTGACCATGTAGAAGACATGATGGTTTGAGCCTGCATAACTCCATGCGCCAATGTTTAACGAAGCAGTTGTGTGGGATCTGGAGGAGAGGTGATGGGACCCTACATTACAGTTATCAGGAATGAGTTTGAGATCAGCAAATGGTATTTTCTAGAGCTGTGTTATTGTTGGGAGAATCTGAAATTGTGATTTTGATTTGGGAGAGGGGTTTAGGAGACAACTCCAGGAGGAGATTAATAGTTGAAGTTTGGAGTTATATTGAAGATGATCTAGGAGCAAGGATTAAGATGACTACTGTTCCTCTCATTCGATGCATTGGGTTTCTCAAAACTAATTGGCACTGGTTCAAGCTGCCTCTGGCATAAGCTACAATTGTACAAGCAAGTATGTGCAGGTGGTAGGTCACAAATATATGCAAATAAGCTGCCTCATACTTCTGATCAGGCTAAAGGGCATCTCTTGTTTGGATGTGATCAAAATGGCAGCTGGCATGGCCCACACTAGAATTGTGTCCACATGGTATGAATGCTATTTTGAATGTGTAGCGGTATTTGTAACACTAAAAATGGGAGTGACTTCCAAGCTCATAATTTTCCATTTTGTTTGCTTCTTTAATTCATAAAGCTGGTATTTGGTAGACTCATTGGTAGTAGTTTACAGTCAATAGTCTACATCTCCTGTACATTACTTTGTAGATTCATCAAACTGTGTTAATATATACCTTTGTTTATTGAATAAGAGCCGCTAAATGTTATACACTGTTTTATACACATCAGAATTTCTTTGCTGCTCTAGTGAATAAATTGACAATTTACATTTTATCTAATTTGCACATTTACTGAGCTGAAATGAGATCACAGGAAGCATGCCATAAATAGATTGAAAATAAATGGTAAAAAATGATTTGCATGGAGGTGCTAATGCAGAAGTGGTGAGAATTCTAGCATTTTATGTTAAGTGAATTCAGAAGCACAGTCCGTATTCTGTAAGAAGGGAATTGGAAACCTGATTGGGTTAAATAGCAGTTTCAAAGGTACAATTGTGCTTTCGGCTCTTCTGAATAACTGGATCAGGAATACATGGTCTTTATTAGATTAAGTGATAAACATTGTGCACTTGAACTCTGTGCTCAGACCAAATAAGTTTAAATGCTTGCTTGCAAATTTGCCCTTTACCATCAGGTGGCACTGCTGATGTGGTTTATAGGTATTTTGTTCCTAAATAATTAGGAAGACAAAAACAGATCAAACAAACACATTGTGGCAATTTGAATTTTGAATAACTAGATGAATGTGTATAGCAGGTACAGCATGTAATGATTACAGAAATTAAAAAAAATATTAAAATTATTGAAAATAATTGCAACTTTTCTGTTGGATTGGAGATCCAGTTTTATTTTTGGGCAAATTGGATATCATCTGCTGACATTTCCAATTATATTCTCAGATGTGTCCCTAAAACTCATACTGAGACTAGTCTATTGTAGTGATGATGACTGACAATAATCATTAAAAGTAGTGTGTTTCGTACTTAAACAAAAGTAGTGACTGGTCAAATACTGTACGAAACAGATTTTGAAGGAAAAGTCAGCAGTCAGGGTGACTATTGATGAGTTTGTACATTAAAAAGATGGAATCTAAGGTAGATAATATGCCCACTTCTCATTCCTTTTCTTACGTATAGAATAATTGACCATTTAGCTAACTATAGGTCAATTATTCAACAGCATTGAAATAACACTGCTGTGATTATGTACTGCTGAATATCTGCTTTTCATTATTAATACAAAGCTGTAGGTGTCATTTTAGAGACAATTTTTATTTGATACCATGATTTATTTGCCAATTATTCAAGTCAATTATTGTGACCAACTGATACATCTATTTGACAAAAAAAAGCAAATAATTTGAAATTAGTGCATTAAGTCTCTCACATTCAGAGAAAATGACATAATGGCCACAATTAGAGTGTGGTCAAATTAAAGCAAAGTAATTTCTTTCCAAATTACATCTCTCACTAAATTAACTATGCTTCACAAGTGTCCACAACACAAAATGATCATACATTTCTAAATGTGCATTGTGCAAAACTGGCCCTCCTAATTTGTGGCATACAAGGCAGCATGCCTTGCAGCTAAATGCCTGATAGTGATGCTGAGGCAGTCACCTTTTACTGGAAACTGCTTTTCGATCCATAATGCATATCCTTATTGAATCAACGCTTTCTTTATTGACTTAACGGCTGTCATCCGTTTCTCAGAAACTCCTGATTCCAGTAACCCATTTAGAGCAAGCACAACATATTTTAGAATTATACAAAATAAGATTTAAATAGACAGGTGCTCACTAAATACTGCCAAATGTCACAGTTTCTTGTAATGTGAATTTTTAAAAGCTTTAAGATGATTATCACTCCACTGTTAATGACACAAATTGAATTAGCAAATGGGGTCAATTGCACTTAAAACCAATTTAAATAACACTTTCCACCAAGGTGATATTTTTACCTGTCAGCAAAATGTATTACTACCTTTAAAAAGTCTGGTTTCAATCTTAGTTGGTTGTGTGTATTTAATATATAGCAGTACTCTTATGGTAAATTCTGTTATGGTAAATACTTTTATTTTGTATTCTAAATGATCATAGATCTAACAGATATTCTTCAAAACAGTTACAATTTTAAGACCTTTATTTGAAATATGATTCCATTTATATCTTAAGAAATAATAGTGATAGCGTCCAAGGGTTTGGGTTCAGGACTTTGGCATTGGGTTCAGAGCAGATCCTAACATTATACTGTGTTGGAAACAGGCACTTGGCTGTGAGGTTCCATAGACTGGTCCATTCCGGGCTCAAGAGCAAACTTGACATCCAATTAAGTAAGTTCAGTTAGAGTACTTAGTTACTGAGTTCAGCTAGACACTGAATGAGAGCTTGGGGGAATTTTTGTGAGGAATGAGGTGCCAGCCATTTTAGTAACCACTTTATAAAGAAACATAGAACAGCATAAAAATGGTGGGATAGCAAATTCCATAAGGGTTTGTCACCATAGATGGAAACAGCTGAATTCTTAGAAAATCAGTGTGACATCAAAGGTAAGCAGGTAGTTGATTAACTAGTGAGTATTTTTCTGACTTAATTTGCAAAACTTCCATAATTTTACTTTTGTAAGTTTCAATTAGTAATGGTAAGGCTTAACTATTAGTAGTAACGCTTACTAGATTGGCAGTGAGTGTTTCCTGCTGGTCTTATCTGGAATTTCAATTGGAGTAAGTAGAACATTTATTGTAATGAGAAAGCATGCACATGTAGGAATTGGAGACAATTAACATTGAAATAGTAAAAATAATTGAATTAATCAGATATTTAAAAGTGGCAAGGCAGGTGATGTGTGGCATTTATAGAATTAGGAGCTTGTAGACACTGTATCAATGGTCGGTTACTGACAGTAAGCAGTATTGATTGTTGGCAACACTCTTTGCTCTTGATCAGAGAGGTGGTCTTCTTTCTTTTCCCCTCCCTGCCCAATTCTCTTCTCTTCTTGTTCTCTCTCTCTGTCTCTCGCGCTGTGTGTGGCTCCCCCTCGCGCTGTGTTTGGCTCCCCCTCGCACTGACACAGTCTGAGCCACTTTCCCTGCACTGGATCCATTTGGGCAGGGTGTGGGCTGTGAATCCATAGTCCATAGAACTTGGCAATGGAGTTGACAATGTAAGAAATGTGCCCTTGGTGAGACTGCATTTACAGTACTGCTCACCATATTTATAGAAGGATGTTAATGTGCTGGAAGCAGTTCAGAGAACGTTTACTAGACTAATACCTGGAATGAGTGGATTGCTTTATGTGGAAAGGCCTTACAGGCTTGGTTTCTACCCTCTGGAGAATAATAGAGTCAGAAGTGACTTAATTGAAACCTATAAAGATTCTGAGGGGAATTGACCGGGTGGATGTTGAAAGATCGTTTCCTCTTGTTGAAGAATCTAGAATTACGGATTATAGCTTTTATAAATAAGGGGGTGTCCATTTAAAACAGTAATGAGGAAATATTTTCTGAGGGTTGAGCGTCTTTTTCATTCCCTTCCTCAAAAGGCAGTGGATGCAGAATCTTTAATTTTTTTAAGGCAGGGTCAATAAATTCTTGGTTATCAAGAGAATGAAAGATTATTAGGATATACAGGAATGTAGAGTCGAGGTTAAAATCAGATCAGCCATGGTTGTTTTGGATGGCGGAGCAGGCTCGAGGGGCTGAGTGGCCTAATCTTGTTTCTTGTTTATATGTTCCGTTCTCCTGAGGTATTACCATTACAGAATTAAAGTTCACTTAAAAGTTCATATATACTTGCTGCCATAAATGACAGTTTCTGCAACAAAAAATAATGTTCATTACTTGACGCTGATACTGAAACCCAGGCTGATTGAGGGTGCAGAATGGCACAACTTGAATCCTATATCAGAGTACTATTCCACAGAGATGATGCATTGTCAAAGTTACTTTTCAGTCCAGTTACAAAAATAAACAAGATACATTTTCTATCTTGCTGCTCTGTGCCTGATGGAAGTGACCTAACTGTCTCTTTACTGGTGACTTACAGGTCAGCACTTGAGGCTTTGCGTCCTGGAGGGACAGTGGTTTATTCTACATGCACACTGTCTCGAGCAGAAAATGATGATGTTGTGGCCTCTGTCTTGAATTCTTATGACAACGTTCAGGCTGTGGATTTAACAGGCTTGGCACGTTCCCTTGCTCATAACTTCACGTTTGCTGAAGGTGTACAGTATGGACAGTTAATTGTGCCAGAACAAGGAAGATTCTGGGGTCCAATGTATGTCAGCAAATTGCTCAAGTTACGCTGATTTGCAATAAAGGTACAAATTTTTAAAATAAATGGGCTTGTATGGTAATTATTGTGATCCCAGCAGGCTGCTTTCATGTGGCTTTGGACACACTTATGATTCTAGTTTCCATAAGGTAATTAGAGTTGTAAAATGGTAAACCTCAGAAATATTTTGTGTATGAAATATTTTAACTGTGAGAATGATTGGAATGTGATAATTATGAGCCCTTTACCTCTAAATTTTTGAGTTGACTGTGTAGCCAAGTAAATGGCATGAAAACAAAAAAGAATGCTGGAAATAATCAGCAAGTTAGGTAGAATCTGTGAAGAGAAAATGTTAACATTTCAGGTTGATGGACAAGATCATTCACCTGTGTAGTTAACTCTGTTTCTCTCCACAGATTCTATCTGACCTGCTAAGTCTTTCCAGCAATTTTGCTTTTATTTGATTTCCAACTTCCATAGTATCTTGTCTGTCTTTTTTAATTAAGTGACATTTGTTGCTTATGTTACCATACTCTGCATCTTTAATATTTCTCTTTTCTTTTTACTCCTCCAATATACAGAACCTCATTAAAGGGAAACAATAGAGATGCTTATTGTAACTAAAGTAAATAACTACAAGAAATAAATAAAAATGGCACAGTAAAGTTTTCTGCGCATTTAAAAGTCTTTGTTTTGTTGAAATTCAAATGTCAGAGAGGCCCAGAACACGACTTAATGGAGGACATTCTCAACTAGACCTTCCAAGTCCACACAGACCTTCCAAAGAGCATCCCACCTGGACACCCATCCCTACCCTATCCAATCTATGTAAACCTGCATTTCCCATGATTAACCTAGCCTGCTCTTCCCTGCTCCTAGCATGGCCAATCCACCTAACCTGTACATGTTTGGACCATGGGAGGAAACCCATGCAGACACGGGGAGAATGTGCAAACTCCATACACAGTCGTTTGAGCCTCAAACGACTCTGGGTCCCTAGTGTTGTGAGGCAGCAGTGCTAACCACTGAGCCGCCATGCCGCTCGAATAGTCTCCAGCTTCAATATGTATTTGTATCTATAGATTAGTTTATGTAAATATGATTGGCAGCAAATCTGGCCATTCATAAAGCATGCTAAAATATGCATGTTGTAAACCTCCCTTATTTTTCATTGGTGTACCAATAAGGGTACTAAGAAAAAGTTCTCCCCCTTCACTCTCCAGGGAACCTTCTTTAGAATGAGGTGTACCTTTTGTAGGCGTATATGTAACCTAGGAAGGTGGTTAAAATGTGAAGTCCAACTATGTAAGTAAAACTTGAGAATTCAATACTAGTTGATAATTGATTGCTGTCAACTTTAGTTGAAGGAAATTGGCAAGTACAGACACTGCGAATGGAAGGACTGAAAGAACGATGGGTTAGAGAGAGTTGATTTGCTTAGTAATCATTTTGAAAGTGTGTAACATGTATTTTATTTACATTTATACTCAGATTTCAAGAGATTCCCTCCCCAAGCACAGGAAGAGAGCTGAACACACATACTGAAAAGAAGAAAACTCTCAGACTGTAATGACTCAGTGAAGTATCTATATTATGTAATGAAATGATTTACATCATCTGATTTTTTTTTCCTACTGAAGAGCTCTGACCAAGGGTTAATCTAAATGTGGCAGAATCTGGAAGGAATGCACTTGAATTTGGAAAGTGGCTCTGAATAAAAGGTCCAAATTGTTACCATACATTTAAGTAGATTTTTATTAAACACTGTTGTAGTGTTATCTGATAATTAAAAGAAGATACGTATTACGGTATTTTTCATTTTCTCATTCTTTGGCTTGTGCCAAAATAAACCACTAAATAGATGGGCAATTAAAGTTTTAAAAAAATACATGCTTTTTCTCCCTACCAGCAATATACTTATTTAATTACCTGTAATGGGCAAAATGCTCACTAGTATATTTCCCAGAAACCAATAGAGGGACTCTAGAGAATTGTTTTACCAAGGTCTTTAAAGTTGTTTTTGATGGTGTGCATCCCACCTTCCACACTATAGCATCGATTCTTTGTTAGATTTCTGATATACCAGGAACAGGGGGTTGGTTGTGGAATGCATCGTTTTCCCAGTTTCAAAAATAAGCTAATCCTTCTTTGCCTATTAATATAAAAAGATAAATCACTGTAAATATGAAATTATACTGAAAATTTGTACAAACAAAAATGTCGCTGTACATTCTGAAACAGCAAGATTCTAATCTTTGCTTGCATGCAAAGCTGTTGATAAATTTGTCTGCAGGTGGTTAAGATCTGTATTAACACTTTTTACCTGTTGCAGCTAGACGGAATTAAACTGTAATGCTTTGTTGGATATAATAGCCCTATTTTGTTTGAGACCAGTATCTATTAGTATAATCAGAGACCATTGGTGAAAAACTGCCATTGACTTGCCAGTCTTATTCCATCATCAGGACAACTGGTGCAAGAAATGGAAATGACAGCGATGTATATACAAACATACAAAATTATTGGACAGAATATGAGCTGACCCATCTAGCATGTCTGATGCTGATGTAGTGCCTATGCATTCCACTTCAGATGCTCCTGATTCAGCCGGAGCCATTTTAACCTGAGAAAGGTGCTGAGGTTTAAACCGGTAGCGAGTAGAATGAACTTTGTTTCTGAGCTTGCTGTCCCTGAATATGGAGCACTTAAGACTGACACCATGTGGCATTCCCCCACTAAATGTAAGCAAACCTACTTTCACTGGTTTTCTTGTAATTTTGAAAAATTAAAGTCACTTCTTTGAGCTGAAAATGACCTTTTATGCATTTCAAGTATTTAAGTCAGGTGATCTTCAATTACTAGTAAATAATATACTCTGCTGTCATTAAGCTGTAGCAGTTACATACGAACAAGGAACAAAAATGTGCACCTGGCCCTTTGAGACTGCTCTACCAATCAGTAAGATGATCTGATATTAACCTCAACTTTGCATTTCTGCATAACTCTGATAACCTTTCTCATCTATTCTGCCGGTTCCCCTATGTATCTTCAATATTATGCATCTCCTTGCATATAGCAGTTTCTGTATCCATTTCTGCTTTCTTTCCCCTCTCAATCTCTCCTCCTCCCTCTCATCTCTAACCCGCTGTTCTCTTTTTCTCCCACGTTACCCCCCCACCTTAAAATTTATGATCTCCATTCCAGTCCAATGTGCTCTTTTATTTCACTTTCAGAAAAACATTGCCAAGCTGAACGTAGAAATGAGACAGGAGGATGTACGTGATGAGCAGAGGACTAGAAATGTAGACGGCAATAATAGTTGGAAGTTATAGAACAGTGACATTGAAAATTAATTGGAAATATTGATTCTGTACTAAAGCTCATGGTAGGCACTGGCCATTCTAATTATGAGGTAATGGCATTTAATTGCTTTGTGATTGGACTCTTAACAACTGATGGTTATCAGTCCCATTTATGAAATACAATAAATGATAAGTACAAAGCATTTGCAATAAGAAAAGCTTTAGATGTTATTAAATGATTACATCAATAGAATAAATTTATGGCTTTTTATGGTAAATATTTTTCAGAACACTGTTGTCTTCAGTAGTCATACAAGAAAAAGCAAGACTGGAAACAGTGGTGCTTGCCTTATCAACCTCATGACACATCCTGACAATGTAGCCCCAGTCTTGAAGTCTGAAGAGTGCTCTGCAGTGGTCTTAGTGACATTTCCATTTTCATGCTTTTGAGAGCTGACATTGCAGAACTAGGGTAGTTTGTGCCGTGAAGTTTTATTCACAAAGGACTAATTGGAAGCTGCCACTGTTCATTCCCTTTTAACTCGTAGCGGTTGCTGAAAAGAGGTGATATTTCTGTTTATTCTCACTGACTGTTTGACTCCAGGTGACCAGAGGTGAAGGTTGTGCAGTACATTTGCAATAAATTGTGATGACATGATGTCACAATCTGTAAAGGACAAAATGCTGAGTCAAATTGTGATAATTTTTCATTGTGTAATATATAATTTACGTAGCTATAAATTATTTTCAGAAATATATTTTATAACATAGAAAGGTGTTTTAAGATTAATGCGTTGTTTTTATTGTCTTGCAACCGGATCATTTAGAAAGGAATACTCTTGAATGGAAGAAGTAACTATATGTAGATATTTTGCTAAAAACATATTTTGACAATTTTAAATGTTCTATCCTGCCTTTATTGCAATAAAACAACCTCAATCAGCTTATTTGTTTTTGTGCAGTACTTTTCAGTTTTCAACTGCAGCTGTGAAGCCATCTTTTCAATTGTAAGGTGAACTGTTTTAAACCAAATAAAGACACGAATCGTTTTTCACTTCATGTATCATAATTACCTGCATTTATATGTTAAACGTCATTGCAAATAAGATGTGATTTTCCTCACTAGAAGACATCAATTGTTTTCAAATTATGGTTCATCTAGTTTGTGAGCCAAATCTCAACATAAAATGCAGTACTAGTTTCTTTATATTGGCTAGATTTTTCATTGATTGAGCTGTCGACGCAGCACTGCCCCTTCTTTTCATCAGAACCTTTGGCAGTAAGGAAGTTTTCACCTATGGAATGTAATGAATAAAATAAGGTAAAGTCTGATTTGATTTCATTTACAAAAGGACCCATTTTTAGAAAAAAAAGTACAAACTGGAAATCTGAAGCAAACTGAATACTGAAGAACAAAAAAAAAAGCCCAGCAGGTCTGCCAGCATCTGTGAAGAGAAAGTTAATGTTTTGGGTCTGGTGACCCTTTCTCAGAACTCAGGATAACCAGGTGAAGGTGAGAGAAAGATGAAAATTAGAAGCAAAACTGTTTTTTTTTTCTAATCCTAGATGAGAGTAGGAAGCAGCACCAATGGCATCATCAATGTTTCAGGGAGAATTGAGGGTGGGGGCCTGAATAGGACTGGAACAAAGAATGTTCCATACAGAAACAGACATACCTGGGACCCATGCAGGCGCTCATGGTCACACCTTTAACTTGGAGAAAATTAAATGAGTTAAAGGTGAAGTTGTTCAACCTGAGAACAAGCTCAGCCCGGCAGAGGAATATGATGGTGTATGGAGACTGTGCAGCCTTTTTTCAAAAAAGGAGCAGAGAGCCCTTCATCCCAACCTGTTGGGGAACGGATGTATAGGGGATTGTACTTCCATGGTAAAGAGGTGGCGGCTAGGGCCATAAAACTTGAATTTATGGAACCAATGTAAAGCATCAGAAAAATCTTGAATGTAAGTGGGAAGAGACTGAACAAGGGGGGAAGAAATAGAATCAAGATTGGGCATTTGAGAAAGTGATCATGGGCGATCTCAAGGAATATAGCGACTATTATTATCCTGCAGTGAAACCTGTACAAAAAAGTGTTTCTTTCATTTGTCATTCACAGTACCCATTCTCTTTATTATGTAAAAAGCTTTAATATATTTTTGAAGAATTCCATATTCTCTAAACAGAATATAGATTAAAAACTGTTAGTCACATTTATTTATAGTCATGCTGTTTGTTCTAGTTAAATTGAGGGATGACCTACTTTGAGCTGAATTTTACCAGCTCTTGAATGACAGGAATTAGAGTCCTAAGTTAAATAGTGGGGAGCCTCGTCAGATGCTTCCTAATTGCTGTCCTGTTACAGAGAAGTTCCTCAACATTTGGAAGATGGCAGGTTTTGAGGTGGATCTGCAGCCTGTTCTGTGGCATTAGGCAGCTAATTTGCCTAATTAAAAATGTTTGTGTCCTGAAACTAGGCTGCATAGTGATTTATGTTTTAATTTTCTTTTAATAGCTTTACTGTTCTATTTATACTCCATTCTAGAGGTAATTAGAATCCAGAACTACTTGGTTGTTGGGATCATTGTAACTCTTAACTTCTGTGACTCAGGTTGTTCTGCACTGTACAAGGTGACACAGTTGCTTTTTTTCAATTTGCAGTGTCCACAGTTCAAAAATCAACACATCATGTTACAGGGCACTATGAAGATAAACTAATCTATCAAAATCACAAAAAAAAATTGTCAGCAAAGTAATTTCACAATGCAGTAACCACATGGAGCGACCAAGTCACATGAACCAAATTCCTAGTGGCTTAGCTACATTAGGAACAGGTGGTCTGAGGTGCATTTGTTTTAATGTGAGAAGTGTAGTAGGTAAGGCAGGTGAACTTCGGGCTTGGATTAGTACCTGGGAGTATGATGTTATTGCTATTACTGAGACTTCGTTGAGGGAAGGGCAAGATTGGCAACTAAATATCCCAGGATATAGATGCTTCAGGTGGGATAGAGGAGGAGGTAAGAGGGGTGGAGGAGTTGCATTACTGGTCAAAGAGGATATCACAGCTGTGCTGAAGTAGGGCACTATGGAGGACTGGAGCAGTGAGGCAATATGGGCAGAGCTCAGAAATAGGACGGGTGCGGTAACAATGTTGGGGCTGTACTACAGGTCTCCCAACAGCGAGCGTGAGATAGATGTAGACAGATTATGGGAAGATGTAGGAGCAACAGGGTGGTGGTGATGGGAGATTTTAATTTTCCCAACATTGACTGGGATTCACTTAGTGTTAGGGGTTTAGATGGAGCAGAATTTGTAAGGAGCATCCAGGAATGTTTTCTAGAGCAGTATGGAAATAGTCCAACTCGGGAAGGGGCCATACTGGACCTGGTGTTGGGGAATGAGCCCGGCCAGGTGGTTAAAGTTTCAGTAGGCAATTACTTTGGGAATAGTGATCACAATTCCGTAAGTTTTAGAATACTCATGGACAAAGACGAGAGTGGTCCTAAAGGAAGAGTGCTAAATTGGGGAAAGGCCAACTATAGCAAAATTTGGCAGGAGCTGGGGAATGTGGATTGGGAGCAGCTGTTTGAGGGGAAATCCACATTTGATATGTGGAAGGCTTTTAAAGACAGGTTGATTAGAGTGCAGGACAGACATGTTCCTGTGAAAATAAGGGATAGAAAGGGCAAGATCAGGGAACCATGGATGACAGGTGAAATTGTGAGACGAGCAAAGAGGAAAAAGGAAGCATACATAAGGTCTAGACGACTGAAAACAGATGAAGCTTTGGAAGAATATCGGGAAAGTAGGACCAATCTGAAACGAAGAATTAAGAGGGCTGAAAGGGGTCATGAAATATCTTTAGCAAACAGGGTTAAGAAAAATCCCAAAGCCTTTTATTCGTACAAAGGGAGCAAGAGGGTAACTAGAGAAAGCATTGGCCCACTCAAGGACAAAGGAGGGAAGTTATGCGAGAAGTCAGAGAAAATGAGTGAGATTCTTAATGAGTACTTTGCGTCAGTATTCACTGAGGAGAGGGACATGACGGATGTTGAGGTTAGGGATAGATGTTTGATTATCCCAGGTCAAGTCGGCATAAGGAGGGGGGAAGTGTTGGGTATTCTAAAAGGCATTAGGGTGGACAAGTCCCCAGGTCCAGATGGGATGTATCCCAGGTTACTGAGGGACGTGAGAGAGAAAATAGCTGGGGCCTTAACAGATATCTTTGCAGCATCCATGAGCACGGGTGAGGTCCCAGAGGACTGGAGAATTGCTAATGTTGTCCTTTTGTTTAAGAAGGGCAGCAAGGATAATCCAGGTAATTATAGACTGGTGAGCCTGACGTCAGTGGTGGGGAAGCTGCTGGAGAAGATATTGAGGGATAGGATCTATTTACATTTGGAAGAAAATGGGCTTATTAGTGATAGGCAGCATGGTTTTGTGCAGGGAAGGTCATGTCTTACCAACTTGATAGAATTCTTTGAGGAAGTGACAAAGATGATAGATGAGGGAAGGGCTGTAGATGTCATATACATGGACTTCAGTAAGGTGTTTGATAAGGTTCCCCATGGTAGGCTGATGGAGAAAGTGAAATCGCATGGGGTCCAGAGTGTACTAGCTAGATGGATAGAGAACTGGCTGGGCAACAGGAGACAGAGAGTTGTAGTGGAAGGGAGTTTCTCAAAATGGAGAACTGACCAGTGGTGTTCCATAGGGATCCGTGTTGGGACCACTGTTGTTTGTGATATACATAAATGATCTGGAGGAAGATATAGATGGTCTGATTAGCAAGTTTGCAGCCGACACTAAGATTGGTGGAGTAGCAGATAGTGAAGGGGACTGTCGGAGAATGTAGCAGAATATAGACCGATTGAAGAGTTGGGTGGAGAAATGGCAGATGGAGTTCAATCCAGGCAAATGCGAGGTGATGCATTTTGGAAGATCCAATTCAAAAGCGAACTATACGGTAAATGGAAAAGCCCTGGGGAAAATTGATACACAGAGAGATCTGGGTGTTCAGGACCATTGTACCCTGAAGGTGGCAACACAGGTCGATAGAGTGGTCAAGAAGGCATACGGCATGCTTTCATTCATTGGACAGGGTATTGAGTACAAGAGTTGGCAGGTCATGTTACAGTTGTATAGGACTTTGGTTCGACCACATTTGGAATACTGCGTACATTTCTGGTTGCCACATTACCAAAAGGATGTGGATGCTTTGGAGAGGGTGCAGAGGAGGTTCACCAGGATGTTGCCTGGTATGGAGGGCGCTAGCTATGAAGAGAGGTTGAGTAGATTAGGATTATTTACATTAGAAAAACGGAAGTTGAGGGGGGACCTGATTGAGGTCTACAAAATCATGAGAGGTATAGACAGGGTGGATAGCAAGAAGCTTTTTCCCAGAGTGGGGGACTCAATTACTAGGGGTCACAATTTCAAGGTGAGAGGGGAAAAGTTTTGCGTGGAAAGTTTTTTACGCAGAGGGTGGTGGGTGCCTGGAATGCGTTGCCAGCGGAGGTGGTAGAGGCGGGCACGATAGTGTCATTTAAGATGTATCTAGACAGATACATGAATGGGCAGGGAGCAGAGGGATACAGATCCTTGGAAAATAGGCAGCAGGTTTAGATAGAGGATCTGGATCGGCGCAGGCTTAGCGGGCCAAAGGGCCTGTTCCTGTGCTGTAATTTTCTTTGTTCTTTGTTCTTTGTTCTTTGTTCTTTGTTCTATTATTAAACTATCCCCGTACTCCTATGAAGTGCTACGACAAGGTCAGTGGCAGCATCAATGGGAGAGAAAGCAGAATTAAGGTTTCAGGTCCTTGTTTGGAAGAAGGATCACCAAAACATCAACTGTGCTGTCTCTCCACGGATGCTGCCAGACCTGCTGGGCTTTCCAGAAATTTTTGTTTTTGTTTCTGATTTCCTGCATCTGTAGTTTTGTTTTGTGGAAGAATGCTGTTTGATTAGGGAGGGCTTTTGGAGGAAGTGGCCATG